CATATTTCAAAGAGCCTACAGGAAATTGCTCATTTAGGGGCAGTAAAACAGTGTGGGCTAATGTGTATAAAAACTTTTTTGCGTGTGTTTGTCAAATTATATATATCATGTTAATGTAATAGTTTATTTTGTGTGGGTCAGACACTTTTCATGGCACTTGTGCCTTTTGCTTTTCGTCTTAAAAATGGGTAACTAATTATCTTCTACATACAGTTTAGAGAAATCCTTCTAAATGTGGAATCTGGGGTCTGGACCTTAGGGATGAAAAAATTAGCACCTATTGACCTGCCGTGAGAGAGGGATGTGTTACTAATAGTCAACAGTCACAGTATACTCAAATGGATAGAACACCCCTATCCTGCAGGAAGGCAGTGCTTCCTGGCTGTTATCTTCCTTACCTGAATCCTTAATCCACTGTTGTATTGCAGAGAGCTGTGACTATGTTCTTACTAAGCTCTCAGGGGCTTTACCAATGGAATTGGCAAAATGTAATTAGGATGGTCAATCGTCTGGGACTCCCATCCCTACCGCCAAAAGATACATTTCAAAGCCAAATAAAAATGCTATTTTATATCATCTACTCTTTAGATTTTCCAAGCCCCTGGTCCATTTAGAGAGAACTGTTGAGCTTTAGCTATATAGTAGGTGCTTAACCATAAACTATAGAGCCAGTCAAGCTCTTTTAACTTTTGAATAAGTTATGCATTCATACGGATCAAAAATCAAAACAATGAAATGAGGTATATTCTGAGACGTTTCCTTCCCACTTCTGTCCCCTTATAGTGTATTATTTACCCCTGTCCCTCCACCTACAGGTCATCACTTTTCTTAGTTTCCTGTATACTGTTCCTGAGTATATTTATGCATATAAGTAAATACATATAGTATCTTTTCCTTCCTTAACACAAAGACATGATATTCATATATTTATAGCTATCTCCATTTATATATATAATATAAATAGGTATATATAATATATATAATATAAATATGTATATTTTATATATATATATATATATATATATATATATATATATGTCCTAGGACTTTTTTCACAGCAGAATATAAGGAGCATCCTCATTTGTTTTTTTTTTTGGCCTTGCCACACAGCATGCGGGATCTTAGTTCCCCGACCAGGGATCGAACCCGTGCCCCCTGCAGTGGAAATGCGGAGTCTTAACCACTGGACCACCAGGGAAAGTCCGTTTTTTTAATGGCTGCATCAGATTCCGTTGTGTATACGTAGGTGTGTATATATATATATATATATATGTGTACACACACACACCCCCACACACACATACTCTTTTGATGGACACTTGGGATTTTCCAATCATTTGCTGTTGTAAACAGTGCTGCAGTGACTGTCATGGCAATGTATTATTTTGCATGAAAGCAGACCATCTGTAGAAAAAATTCCCAGAAGTGAGATTTTGGGTCAAGGGTAAATACATTTGAAATTTTAATAATGTTACCAAATTGCTCTTTGGAGTCACACTCCCACCAGCAATATATGAAAATGACTGATTTCCCATGGCCTCCTCAAAAGAATATTAGAAAACATTTTTATCTATCAGACTAGTCAAAATCTGGAATTTATGAAGTATACTTTTAATTTACATTTCTCCTGTTTGAAAAGATGCTCAACTTTTCTCATGTTGTTTAAAGGCCATTTTGTTCATTTTTCTATGAAATGTCTATTAATGTTCTTTGCTACTTTTTCTGTTGGGTTACTGATAATTTTCTTACCGATTTTTAGTAGCTCTTTCCATATTAGCGAGATTATCCATTGTTTTGTCTGTGACATGAGTTGAAAATATTTCCCCCAGGTTATTTGTTTTTTTTTCCTTTGCTTATAATTTTTTTTTTTTTGGCATACAGAAGGTATTGTTGTTTGATGTAATTGAATTAAACTTTAATTTTATACTTTCTGGGTCTTTTTATTTTTTTTGCTGTACGCGGGCCTCTCACTGCTGCGGCCCCTCCCGCTGCGGAGCACAGGCTCCGGACGCGCAGGCTCCGCGGCCCGTGGGATCTTCCCGGACTGGGGCACGAACCCATGTCCCCTGCATCGGCAGGCGGACTCTCAACCACTATGCCACCAGGGAAGCCCTTTCTGGGTTTTTAATCATAGTCAGAATGGCCCTTCCCCACTCCCAGGAAGTCACTCATATTTTCTTGTGTTTTTTTTTTCTTTTAAATTTATTTCGTTGAAGTATAGTTGATTTACAATGTTGTGTTAATTTCTGCTGTACAGCAAAGTGATTCAGTTATACATATATATACATTCTTTTTCATATTCTTTTCCATTATGGGTTTATCATCACAGGATATTGAATATAGTTCCCTGTGCTATACAGTAGGGCCTTGTTTGTTTTTTTAATTTCATTTTTGGCTGCGTTGGGTCTTTGTTGCTGCACATGGGCTCCTCTAGTTGCGGCGAGCGGGGGCTACTCTTCATTGCGGTGCACGGGCTTCTCATTGCAGTGGCTTTTCTTGTTGCGGAGCATGGGCTCTAGGCATGCAGGCTTCAGTAGTTGTGGCTTACGGGCTCTAAAGCGCAGGCTCAGTAGTTGTGGCACGGGAATTTTCTTGTATTTTTAAGAACCCATCTTATTACAGAAAATTTTAAGCATACACAAATTAGAAAATAGTATAATAAACCTCAATTACATGTCATCCAGCTTCAACAATTAGGGGTATTTTGCCAATCTTGTTTTATCTTATCCTCCCATCCATTTTGAGAATATTTGAAGCAAACCCGAGACATTATATTTTCTTTATAAGTATATCAATATATATCAATAACATGTAAGAACATTTTAGAACATAACTTCTATAACATTATTATACCAATAATTCCTTAAGATTATCCAATACTATCCTGTGTTCACATTTTCTTTTCTGGAACTTTTATGGCTTTGTTTTCTATGTGTATAGTATGAGGTGTGTACTAACCTTATTTTTTTCCTGGCTACCCAGTTGTCCCAACTCAACTTCTTAAAGTGTATTCTTACCTTACTGGTTTGAGATGCCACCTTTACCGTATAACAAATTCCCATGTGTATTTGAGTCTATTTCCAGACCTTCTATTGTTCCATTTGTCTGTCTACTCAAATGTTACTACTATACTGTTTTATTTACTGTGGCATTAGAGAATGTTTTAATGTCTTTCAGGACTAGTCATTCCCTAAATGAAATAGTAAGTCATCTACTCCAATTTGCTATTTTAAAATGGCAGAAAATTATAGTTTATAGTCCAGCCTCGTCAGATCTGGTGATTTAGAAATCAGCAAGGAGTGGGAGTAGAATGTGTGAGCATAAATGTGGTCCCTAAGGAAAGTAAGAGTAATAACACTATAGGAAAGTAAATAGTAATAACATAAAAGTTTGAAACCTGGGGCAGGTCCTCATCTGGAGGCGGGAGGAGAAAGCAGAACCAGCAAAGGATAAAGGACATAGTTTTGGTGGTTGAAGCGTGCTTCTCCCTTGGAAGTAGCCAATCCTGGTTCTCTTTGGCAAAGTCAGAAAGGCCTACAGTAGAGAAAGTTGCAGCGTTGGCTGTGTACCTGCCCTAGGGAACCAATCAGAGACGCAAATCATGCTGCAGAGCCGAGAGGGCCCGGATGAAGTGTGTGGAGGCGGCTGTGTCATCACTGTGCTCTGGGCAGTTCACAGGCCTGGGCAGCCAATAACCCTGAACTCCAGGGCTGCCTGGGTGCTGGTTTGTGCCTCTGAAGGTGCGAGAGTGAACCTTACGAGGCCTTTCCCAGGCAAAGGATGAAGCTGTATTATTCTGAGCCCTCTTTCCGGGAGACAGTATTAGTTCTAGCTAACAAGATACCTTTACTGGAAAAGGTCTGAGAGAGAGGACTTCTGGTACGAGTTATCGTGGGAGAGACATCTAAAGTATTTAGCAGGGGCAAATCATAATACCTTTTATCCTTTTGAAATGCATGTATCTGCTGGGACTCTGCACCTTCACAAAAGCCCAGAGAATGATAAGGTGGTCAAAGCGGGGGGGGGGGGGGGGGGGGGGGGGGGGGCGGGGGGCGGGGATGACTACAGAATGACTTCATCCCCGGCAGACACCCTTAATAACCCATGGCACAGCTCCTAACCTCCTCATCCCCAATTTCCTCCTTATAACCTGCAGGTGAACGCACCTGCTTACCTCACAGGGATGTGGGGAAGATTAATTAGTTTCAGATGGGAAAGTTCTTGGCTGCTGAGTCATGTGGTGTAGTGAGCGTGCTAATTTGAGGCTGCACAGCCAGGAGTTGCCTGCTGCCCAAATGCAGGCCGCAAAGGGTAAATGGAAATTGGTCGTCATCAGAGTCAGGGGAGTGGACTTTGCAGACTGAATGAATGGGTGAAGTCAGCCTTGTTCGGGCATATTCAACGATTCCTTACTCAGTGTCTACCCTGTGCAAGTGGTAACGGGCAGCCATGATGGGGGCAGGAGGAGTGATGGCCCTGAGGTGCAGGCATTGCTGGGGCGGCTGTTAGTCACAGTGGAAGACCGTAGCCTAGAATTGTGACTCTGGGGACGAGAAGTCACCTTTGCCATCAACGATGTGAGCTGGGCGTCAGTTGTAGTCGGCTCCACATTCCGGCGTACTCTGAATAATAAGAAGGGTGATCAGCACTCCCTCAGACCCCTCACTTTCCAGATGCCAACCTTACCAAATCCCTGAGCTAGTCTTCTCTCCTAGGTGTTTGCAGTGAAAAGAATCTTTGTGTTCATTAACAAAAGGGGAAGAGAAAAAGAGACCCCTCTTTTGGCCTCTTTGTCTTCTGTTGTTGCATGCTGCTGCTTTACAGAGTACGTTCAAGGTGTGTTTTCTTTTAAGCACAAGGTAAGAGGGACTATTTCAGGCATTATCACAGAACACTTTCTCTGCCACTAAGGAGTTTTATGGTCTGGAAATTGGTACAGAATATGGATGAGATCTCAATGTACATTTCAAGCTGAACTCTTTCTTTTTTTTTTCTTTCAGGTGTCCTTGAGTGAGGGTAGCAGGGAGTGAAAGAGGAGAAGAAAAGAAAATTAAGAAAGGTGAGTATGAGTAAATTTGGAAGGTGAAGTAAAGGGCTTCTCTGGGCAAATGAGGCTGCTAAGACCATTATCCCAATAGGAAGGTTTGGGACTGTGGAAGGTGAGAGGTAACCAGAGAATAATCAGAGGCAGTTTAGGAAAAAGGTCCTTAAGTTAAATGACAAACCCATTGTCATGTAAAAATAGTGTTGTTTCTTGAAATACAAGATTTTAAGAAAGGAGAATAGGGCAAAGCACCATTGTGTTAATATGAAGTTCTGGTTTTCAGTGACTTTTTTATTTTATTAAAAAAATTATACAATTTTTAAAGGTTACTTTGCATTTATAGTTATTACAAAATATTGGCTATATTTCCTGTGTTGTACAATACATCCTTGAGCCTATTTTATTTATTTATTAAAAATTTACCATTTTATTTATTATTTTTTTAATCAATTTATTTTTTGGCTGCATGGGGTCTTCGTTGCTGCATGTGGGCTTTCTCTAGTTGCAGCAAGCGGGGGCTACTCTTCGTTGCGATGCATAGGTTTCTCATTGTGGTGGCTTCTCTGTTGCAGAGCATGGGCTCTAGGCACACGAGCTTTAGTAGTTGTGGCACATGGGCTCAGTAGTTGTGGCTCACGGGCTCTAGAGCACAGGCTCAGTAGTTGTGGCGCATGGGCTTAGTTGCTCTGCGGCATGTGGGATCTTCCCGGGCCAGGGCTCAAACCCATGTCCCCTGCATTGGCAGGCAGATTCCTAACCACTGCACCACCAGGGAAGTCTCTTGAGCCTATTTAAACACAAGAGTTTGTACCTCCCACTCCTCCACCCCTATATTGCCCCTCCCATCCAACCCCCACTGGTAACCACTAGTTTATTCTCTACATCTGTGAGTCTGCTTCTTTTTTGTTACATTCACTAGTTTATTTTTTAACCTCCACATATAAGTGATATCATGCAGTATTGCTTTCTTTTTCTGACATATTTCACTTAGCATAATGCCCTCCAAGTCCATCCATGTTGCTAAAAATGGCAAAATTTCATTCTTTTTTATGGCTGAGTAGTATTCCATTGTATATCTGTACCACTTTTTCTTTATCTGTTCATCTGCTGATGGACACTTAGATTGCTTCCATATCTTGGCAATTGTAAATAATGCTGATGTGAACATTGGGGTGCGTGCATCTTATTGAATTAGTGTTTTTGCTTTCTTCTGATATATACCCAGGAGTGGAATTGTGGGTCATATGGTAGCTCTATTTTTAGCTTTTGAGAAACCTTAATACTCTTTTCCACAGTGGCTGCACCAATTTACATTCCCACCAACAGTGTACAAGGGTTCCTTTTTCTCCACATCCTTGCCAACATTTGTTATTTGTGTTCTTATTGACGATAGTCATTTTGACAGGTGTGAGATGACATCTAACTGTGGTTTTTATATGCATTTCTCTAATAATTAGCAATGTGGAGCTTCTTTTCATGTGCCTATTGGCCATCTGCATGTTCTCTTTGGAAAAATGTCTGTCGAGTTCTTCTCAGTTTTTAATCGGGTTGTTTATTTTTTGATGTTGAGTTCTATGAGCTATTTATATATGTTGGATATTAATCGCTTATCAGTCATATCATTTGCAAATATTTTCTCCCATTCAATATGTTGTCTTTTCGTCAGTTGTTCCTTTGCTGTGCAAAATCTTTTAAGTTTAATTAGGTTCCACTTGTTTATTTTTGCTTTTATCTTCTTTAATTTAGGAGACAGATCCAAAAAAATATCGCTGCGATTTATATCAAAGAATGTTCTGCCTATGTTTTTCTCTAAGAGTTTTATGGTTTTGGTCTTACTTTTAGGTCTTTAATCCAGTTGGAGTTTATTTTTGTATATGGTATGAGGGAATGTTCTAATTTCATTGTTTTACATGTAGCTGTCCAGTTTTCCCAGCACCACTTACTGAAGAAACTGTTTTTTCTCCACTGTATATTTTTGCCACCTTTATCGTAGTTTGACTATAAGTGTGTGGGTTTATTTCTGGGTTTTCTATCGTGTTCTGATCTATGTGTCTGTTTTTGTGCCGGTCCCACACTATTTTGATTACTGTAGCTTTGTAGTATAGCCTGAAGTCAGGGAGTGTGATTCCTCCAGCTCTGTTCTTCTTTCTCAAGATTGTTTTTGTTATTCAGGGTCTTTTGTGTTTCCATACAAATTGTAAATTTTTTTGTTCTAGTTCTGTGCAAAATGCCATTGGTAGTTTGATAGGGACTGCATTGAATCTGTAGATTGCCTTGGGTAGTATGATCATTTTAACAGTGTTGATTCTTCCAATCCAAGAACATCGTCTGTCTCTCCACCTGTTTGTATCATCTTTAATTTCTTTCATCAGTGTCTTATAGTTTTCCGCATACAGGTCTTTTGTCTCCTTAGGTAGGTTTATTCCTAGGTATTTTATTCTTTTTGTTGCAGTGGTAAATGGGAGTGTTTCCTTAATTTCTCTTTCAGATTTTTCATCATTAGTGTATAGGAATGCAAGGGATTTCTGTGCATTAATTTTGTATCCTGCTACTTTACCAAATTCTTTGATTAGCTCTAGTAGTTTTCTGGTAGCATCTTTAGGATCCTCTATGTATAGTATCATGTTATCTGCAAACAGTGACAGCTTTGCTTCTTCTTTTCCGATTTGAACTCCTTTTATTTCTTTTTCTTCTCTGATTGCTGTGGCTAAAACTTCCAAAACTATGTTGAATAATAGTGGTGAGATTGGACAACCTTGTCTTGTTCCTGATCTTAGAGGAAATGGTTTCAGTTTTTCACTATTGAGAATGATGTTGGCTGTGGGTTTGTCATATATGGCCTTTATTATGTTGAGGTAAGTTCCCTCTATGCCTACTTTTTGGAGGGTTTTTATCATAAATGGGTGTTGAATTTTGTCAAAAGCTTTCTCTGCATCTACTGAGATGATCATATGGTTTTTATTCTTCAATTTGTTAATATGGTATATCACATTGATTTGCATATATTGAAGAATCCTTGCATCCCTGGGATAAACCCCACTTGATCATGGTGTATGATGCTTTTAATGTGCTGTTGGATTCTGTTTGCTAGTATTTTGTTGAGGATTTTTGCATCTATGTTCATCAGTGATATTGGCCTGTAGTTTTCTTTTTTTGTGACGTCTTTGTCTGGTTTTGGTATCAGTGTGATGGTGGCCTCGTAGAATGAGTTTGGGAGTGTTCCTCCCTCTGCTAATTTGGTAAGGACGGCATTGAGTCTGTAGAGTGCCTTGGGCAGTATAGTCATATAAACTGTTTGTTCTTACAATACAAGAACATGGTATATATCTTTCTACCTGTTTGTGTAGTCTTCAATTTATTTCATCAGTGCCTTACAGTTTTCAGAGTACAGGTCTTTTTGCCTCCTTAGGTATATTTATTCCCAGGTATTTTATTCTCTCTGATGCTGTGGTAAATGGGATTGTTTCCTTAATTTCCCTTTTGATATTGATACTTCAATATAAATGTAGAGAAATGCAGATTTCTATATATTAATTTTGTATCCTGCAACATTATTGAATTCATTAATGAGCTCTAGTAGTCTTCTGGTAGTGTCTTCAGGATTTTCTATGTATAGTGTCATGTCATCTGCAAACAGTGACAGTTTTAAGTCTTCCTTTCTAATTTGGTTACTTTGTTTTTCTTCACTGATTCTTGTGGCTACGACTTACAAAACTATGTTGAATAAAAGTGGTGAGAGTGGGCATCCTTGTCTTGTTCCTGATCTTAGAGGAAATGCTTTCAGCTTTTCACTGTTGAGTATGATTTTAGCTGTGGGTTTGCCTTTATTATGTTGAGGTAGGTTCCCTCTATGTCCACTTTCTGAAGAGTTTTTATCATAAATGGATGATGAATTTTATAGCTTTTTCTACATCTTTTGAGATGATCGTATGGCTTTTGAAGAACAAATTCTTCAATTTGTTAGTGTGGTGTATCACACCAATTGATTTGCGGTTATTGAAAATTCCTTGCATCCCTGGGATAAATCCCACTTGATCATGGTGTATGATCCTTTTAATGCATTGTTGGATTTGGTTTGCTAGTATTTTGTTGAGGATTTTTGTGTCTATGTTCATCAGTGATACTGGCCTGTAATTTTTTTTTGGGGGGGGGTATATCTCTTTTTGGTTTTGGTGATGGTGGCCTCATAGAATGAGTTCAGAAGTGTTCCTTCCTCTGCAGTTTTTTGGAATAGTTTCAGAAGGGTAAGCATGAATTCTTCTCTAAATGTTTGGTGAAATTCACCTGTGAAGTCATCTGGTCCTGGACTTTTGTTTGTTGAGGTTTTTAAATTACTGATTCAATTTCATTACTGGTAATTGGTCTTTTCATATTTTCTATTCCTGGTTCAGTTTTGGGAGATTGTACCTTTCTAAGAATATGTCCATTTCTTCTAGGTTGTCCATTTTATTGGCATATAGCACCTGTAGTAATCTCTTACGATCTTTTGTATTTCTGTGGTGTCAGTTGTAACTTCTTTTTCATTTCTGATTTTGATTTGGGCCCTTTTTTTTTGCAGTACGCAGGCCTCTCACTGATGTGGCCTCTCCCGCTGTGGAGCACAGGCTCCGGATGCGCAGGCTCAGCGGCCATGGCTCATGGGCCCAGCGGCTCCGCGGCACGTGGGATCCTCCCAGACCGGGGCACAAACCCGTGTCCCCTGCATCGGCAGGCGGACTCTCAACCACTGCGCCACCAGGGAAGCCCTGGGCCCTCTTCATTTTTTCTTGATGAGTCTGGCTAAAGGTTTATCAATTTTGTTTATCTTTTCAAAGAACCAGCTCTTAGTTTCATTGATCTTTTTTTTTTGGTCTCTATTTCATTGACTTCTGCTCTGATCTTTATGATTTCTTTCCTTCTGATAACTTTGGGTTTTGTTCATTCTTCTTTTTCTAGTTCCTTTAGATGTAAGGTTAGGGTATTTATGAGATTTTTCTTGTTCTCTGAGGTATGCTTGTATTGCTATAAACTTCCTT